TTTATTTTCACACACACATATATATGACATTTTTATTGAGTCTGGTTTACCTTTTTTGTTTTTTATGATTTTGGTGTAATATTTTTAAAAACTTGAGTAATACAAGATTGTGAATATTTGCCCTTATTTTCTTATAAGAGCTTATAATGTTAATTCTTACATTTAAGTCTAATTTGAGTTAATTTTTGTGTATAGAATAAGGTGGGTGTCTGCCTTTTTTCTTCTGCATGTTGATATTCAAACACCATTCATTGAACAGATTATCTTTTCCCCATTATATAGTCCTAATAACCTAATTGAAAATGAGTGACTTAATAATTTATTTCTGTTCTCAGTTCTATTACATTGATCTATGTCTAACTCTTTGTCAGTTCCTGTCTTGATTTAGTGAAATTCTGTGGTTTAAGTCATGAAATCAGGAAGTATGTTCCCTTCTTCTTTTTCAAGACTGACTTCTTATCCTGGGTCCCTTGCATGTCCATATGAACTTCTGGACCAGCTTGTCAATTTATGAGAAAGAAAAAAACAACTGGAATTTTGTTAGGGATTGTGTTTGTGTACTAGTTTATATTATATTGCCATCTCTGTGTGAGTGTGCGTGTGTGTGTGTATGTGTGTTTGTGTGGGTGGTATGTTACTGGGAATGAATCCACAGCCTTTGCATTGAGCTGTATCCACAGCCCTTTTTTATTTTTTGAGACAAGTTCCCCAGACAGGACTTAAATCTCCTATCCTTGTGCCTCAGCCTCCCAGAGTACTGAGATTATGGGCATATGCCACAACAGTTGCCTGTATTTCCGTTTTTACAACGATTCTCTCAATCCATGAAAATGAATTTTCTTTCCTTTACATACGTCCTCTTTAATTTTTACAATGCTTTATGGTTTCATTGTTAATCTCATATTTTTTGTTGACTATATTCCTCAGTATTTTATTTAATGCTATTTAAATTTTTTCATTTTCAGATTATTCATAACTAGTGTTTAAAATGGAATTGTTTGTTTGTTTGGCTTTTTGAGACAGAGTCTCACCATACAGTTCAGGCTGACCTTGAACTCACTATATAGTCAAGGCTGGCCTTGAACTCATGATGATCCTCCTGCTTCAGCCTCCCAAGTGCTAGGATTACAAAGTGAGAGCCACCACAGTCGTGTTACAGTTGATTTTTGTATACTGCTTTTGCATTCTGCCACCTTGATGAATCATTTATTACTTTTAATTATTATTATTATTTTATTTATTTATCTATTTATTTATTTATTTATTTTGGTGCCAGGATCGAACTTAGGCCCTTGTGTTTGTGAGGCAGGCAATGGAACCACTAAGCCAAATCCCTGGCCCTACTTTTAATTTTTTAGTTGATTCCTTTGAATCTTCTATGTATAAGAGCATGTCATCTGCAAATATAGGTGTTTTTACTTCTTCCTTTCTAATATAGATGATCTTCCTTTTTCTTGCCTAACTGCCTTGGCTAGGATATCAGTACAACACTGAAAAGAAGTGACAAACAATAGTAAACATTTTACCTTGTTTCTCAGCTTGAGAAGAAAGAACATTCAGTCTTTAACCCATTGATGTATCTTTGAATTTCTCAGACATCTTTTGTCAGGGTGAGGAAATTCTCTTCTACTCTTCATTTGTGGACAGTTTTTAATCATGAAAGGGTGTTACGTTTTGTCAACTGATTTTTCTACATAGAGGTGATCATGCTTGGCCTTTATTCTATTAATATGGTGTACTACTATGCTTTTATATTGAAACAACCTTTCATTCCTAGGATAAATCCCACTTATTCATGTTTTTTTTTCCCAGTACCAGGGTTCAAACTCAGGACCTTGCATTTGCCAGGCAGGCACTGAGCTACATACCTGGCCCCAGTTTGCTGGTATTTTGCTGAAGATTTGTTCCTGTGAGTCCTAAGAGATACTGATCTATGTAGCAGGCACATTTAATCCACAGCCTACTGGACCCAGGCCAGCTAGTGATGTAGCCCCACAAGATCATAAACTTTTAGCCTTATTATGTGATTTTTAGCTGTGTCTGAGCACAGACTTCATAGACAATGGAATGCTGGGTAGGGGAGGATGCAGTGCAGTGCTAACTATGTCTTTGAACCCACTACATGTCTGTTCACTCCAGCGTGTCAGATGTTACATGTGTTTGTGTGACTTGGTCAGTTAAACACAGCAATTACCGACAATGGTATTTAAATGTACCTACATGTGTGTGCCTGTGAAAATAGGGATTTATTAGTATTCAGTAGATGTGTAAGTTTTCATATTTAATTATTAAATAAGAATTGGGGTTGAGGAAGGAATATCACAAGTTCAACCCCAACATGGGCAACTGTCTTAAAAAATAAAAAAAGGCTGGTGATGTACCTCAGTGTAAAGGTACTGGGAACAATACCTAGTACCACCAGAAACAAAAAAATAAAAAAAAAAATGATTTGGACGACTTCTGTTATTTT